GTTGCTGTGACACTGCTGCGGTGCTAAATCTTAAAAAAAAAAAACAAATAGTTGGGTGGTTTTGAGCTGCTGGAACCCATGACACTAGAGACGTCCATGGGCAGCACATTTATATCTTTGCATTTTCTGTGCACTTTCAGTGCGTTGCATCGTAGGCACATTTTGCACGCATTTGACATCCATTATCATTCATGCCTTTTTTCTGGAAAGCACAGTAGAAATATAGCAAGCAGAAGTGTATTTTTTGTAACTGTAATGAACCACGTGTGAATACACCTTTGACAACTGGTTTAAAACAATGCACACCTTATGTAGCTGATATATTATCTTGACTGTTAAGTAGTCGCAGTTAATACAATCTGAGAATTGCTAAGCTACAAAATTTCTAAAAACAATACAGTAACAAAAACATTAACGGGCAAGCAGGTACCTGTGACATGAAAAATATACAGTATATTGCAAAAATAAATTTGAATATGCTCTCACTACAAATACAGTATACTTTCCTTTAAAGCAAAGTTTAAGCGCACCGCAGTACAGCTGAGCCAGATCCTCAGAGTATGACAGGCTGCCAGTAGTGGGCTGGATGGTGTGCCTGTACCCTCCAGCTGCAGCTGAACACTGGAGCCTAATATGCCCAGTGTGCATCCCTTAGCCTAATATTGAGGCTGACATAAAATACTACATTGCAGGTAAGGCTTTCTAACAAGCAAGATGTTTTAGGAGATCACTTTCAGGGCTCCCCATTCCTGGCTGCGGTAGGGGGAAATGTGGTGCGCAATTCAGCGTGTCACGCAGCTCCCTTTTTTTTGTAAAATTTGTATGTGAAGTATACAAAACGTACACTTCATTCATGGCAATGTACATCAGTGTAATGTGCTGCAGTGCTGTAGATTGCCATGCGATTCAGCATGATGCGCTGTGATTAAATGCAGCATGTCTGCATTTTATCACAGCACACTGCAGCGCAGCTGCAGGCGATGTTGCAGTGTAAATGGGACACATGGGAAACAATTGTTTTCTGTGTCCTTGCGGTGATGGGTGTTTTACAATGCACTAAAATGCCGGTCACAGTAGTATGTGTGAATTCAGCCTAAGGTGTATGTTAGGGCATATGCCATATCACTTTAAAAAGGTTACAAGTACAGAAAATACCCGATGATTTGTCAAAAATTCAGTGTGCTCTTAACTGGAAGTTTGGGCTGACATGGTGCTTTTGCTGGACTATAGAACTCCACCTAACCCCAACCCCTCTCTGTCCCAATCCATATGCATCCATTGATAATTTTGCCGGAAAAATTCTGCTGCATTGACTCTGAACAGCCTGAGCATGGAGTGTGTGTAAAAAAAAAGCTCTCGGGAGGTGGAATACCTGGGGTGTCTTATGTCAATATGAACTGAGCTCTCAACTGCTGTGCCTACACATGGTGATAATGTCACAGACAGTAATAAAAGCTGCTTCTCGGTACAAAAAAGAGAAACAGTAAATGTTGGTACATGATTAGAGGTGGTGATGGAGGATTGGGGTTTAACATGCCTGGACATACAGTTTAAAAGTAATAGAAATATAGAATTTGATATTGCTGACTTTTTTGGATAGTGCTGTCTCCCCACCCTTGCTCTGCGACTTACTGAGTGACTTTCCCTCAACAAGCATGCAACCAATAAACTGTCAGAACCACCTGATTTGGATGTTCCTCTGGCTTTGACTAGAAACTTTAGGCCTGATTTGCACCTATACGTGTTCCGATTAATGCGTTTTTCCGACGTGTTTTGTATGTTTTTTTGCCAATAGGAAAGTATTGAGTGCGACTTTGATGCGCCCTTACACTCTCTGGCACTCAAAGTTGCATCAAAGTAGTGAAGGAACATTTTCAAACTTTTTTGACTTTGCAAATGTCCTTTGATGTGACTTTGATGTGACTTTACACTCTCTGGCATGCAAAGTCACGTAAAAGTTGCATCAAAGTAGTGCAGGAACCTTTTAAAAGGTGCAACACCTTTGAAAATGTTTCTGCACTACTTTGATGTGACTTGAATTGCAGAGAGTGTAAAGTTGCATCAAATTCGCACTCATTACTTTCCTATTGGCAAAAAATAACCACAAAATGCAAAATGCATCAGAACACAACACTCACATTTTTGGTGTGGATCCATTGAAGTCTGTTGCACCAAAAAATGCAATCTTCTGTGGGAAAAAAGTCCCTGACCCTTTCCAAAAATGCAGCAGCTGAAAACGCATAGATGTTAATGTGTCCCATAGGTAACCATGATAAATGGACTATAGAGTATTTCTGCAAAACACACTAAAAAATAGGTATGTATATAAAATACAGGTGTGAACCAGGCCTAAAAATTACTGGTAGGTCAAAATAGTAACATACAAGAACGCCATATGCAATCCACAGTGAATGCTGGAGATGGTCACTCTACAATTGCTCAATATATAGAATGACAAGTCTAAAATGACAAGGTTTTAGCAACTACCTTTAAAATGCCTGACTCCTTCATTAATGTAGATAGCCTTTGTAATAAGCCTGGGGAAGAACATCATGTCAGCATAATGGTCTGGTATGTCCAATGTGTGGTTCTCCGTTACTATACTGGATGGACACCACATAATTAACTGACTGAAAAAGAGAGACCTTTTTTGGCTCTTTTGTGATGCACATGAAAAGGTTGACAACGGGGCTGACGGAATATACTGACACCAGAAACTGATAGTACTTTTTCAATCCAATTGACATTTAAATTACACCTTTACAGACGCCAGAGGCTAGGCTGGAAATATAAATCCAATGACACCCAAATATGACAGTATACATTTAAAAGCATTTATGTCTGGTATTACACAATTACAAGGCAATATATACAGCATACTAACTGATACTGCAGACTGGCAACATATCTTCATACAGTCAGAGGTTTTACATTTAAAGTAGATGTGACCCAATCACTAAAATCTCATATAAGCTTTGACATGTTCATGTGATTTCACCTTTATTCTGCAATTTTTATATATAAGAATATCTTGGGATGTTGCTATGAAGGTCCCTGATCAGGCACTTCTTGTTGCGGTGACAATTTTCTCACAATTGTTCTCCTGCCATTGTCACTTTTTCTCTTGTACCTATAATGGAGACTACAAATAGCTGTGTCAGCACACATTGCCAAGTTATGGTCCACCTTTGTCACTATCAGGAAGCCAGTTCATAGCAATGATGTCCCTATGATACTGGAGGAAGTGTGTAGAGAGAAAGTAACTGACAGCGGCTGGAGGAGATCAGTAGCTGTGAGATGCCAAACAGGATGAAAATGGGTAAAACAGTATTTCATGAAAATAATAAAGGGCAATGTGTATGATAAACAGTGCTTAAGCAAAATGTCATCCAGCTAGAACTACAGGGTCAAAAGAGCGAATTGCAATACCTGCAGAAATAATAGGCAAAATACTTACCTTTCTACTGGCCTGTGTCATGATACTTTGCCGCAATGCTTCTCCCCAGCAGCCACAAGTATTCAACACATTTGTGTGTAAATTCCAGCTACCCCTGCTGCAAGCAGTAGTTCCTCCAGCTGGTTCGTATGTCACTACATGACATATGAGCCAGTGGGGGGAACCATTGTGTACTATAGGGGAAAAAAGGAATTTAACTCCTCCAGCCAGTTGAATACTTGCAGCAGCCAGGAAGTAGTGTCGTTGCTTTTTATGGTATGGTCCACTGGGATTCTGCAATCTCCTAAAATGATCCTGCCTGACTTTTTTTTACTATTGCAAATGGTTGTTTCCAATTTACTGCACGCACTGCTGTATGCAAGCTGTGTCTGCATGTGCATTATTTTATCAACTGTTGCAGATTATTGCACAGATTTACACTCATTACATTACAACAGGGGTGTGTCCAACCTGTGGCCAACAGGCCGCTTTTGGCCCATGATGGCTTTGAATGCAGCCCAACACAAAATCGTAAACTTACTTAACCTCCCTGGCGGTATGATTATTTCAGATTTTTGGTGCTGAAAGCGGTACCATTTTTTTGCATGGAAATATGTTTTTTTTTTATTGTAGGGCTGTAATTTTTAGGAATAACTCACTGAAATCTGTCCGAACAAGAGTCTAGTAAACATCCCGGGTATGTTAAAACTTGAAACACAAAATCATAAATTATAATTTAATAAATAATCATAAAAATAATAATATAATAATAATAAATTTAATTTTAATAATATAATCAAACCAAAAAACACTTAAATTTGAAATAGAGCGCCAAGTTCGCACATCGCTGAGCAAAGTTGCAAAATCGTTTTCATTGTTTGATGACAAATTTCCCCACAAATCATTATCACTCAATTCTGCAAGTGGTTCTGATTTACTATCGCTGTTCTCTAGCTGGTCTAAAACCGCTTTTGACCTAAAGGGACGCTTTTTGGACGCCATGGACATTTCTCAGTTTCCAGGCAATAAGAACAGTAAAAATGCAGGCAGGGCACAGGACAAAGCACTCGGGACAAAATGTATGTGAAATGGTTTGATACAGCAATGTTTTACTATGTGATTTTAGTGATTTTAGTGAATGTCACTTTTTGTCATTTTTGAATTTCCCGCCGTTCCGTCCCCCGTACGTCCCGACGCTCACAGGGGACGGAACCCAGATGACAGATGCCGGCATCCGCCGGATTACATTGTCTGGGACACTGCAGGAGGGACATCGTGGGAGCGCAGGACAAGGTAAGTGATACAGGGATCGTGGAGCAGCGCCGCATGGTATTCCCGAGTGTAGCTCGGGGTTACCGCTTGTGGTACTGAAACCTTACCCCGAGCTACACTCGGGAATACCGCCAGGGAGGTTAAAAAAGTTTTTCTGAAATTTTTTGTAAAAATGCATTTACACTTAGTGAACACACATGTGGCTGAAGAAAAAATTGACAGTGTATGTTTACTGGACTTTTAAAAGTTTTATCTTTCCAGTGAAAAATATCCAACTTTTCACAATTACGCCTTATTCATGTCAACAGTTTCCGGCAGCACATATAATTGTGAGCCACTATTTTCAAGGATGAAGCACACAAAGGGCAATATTAGAATCAAAATATCTGATGAGCACTTTGAGAATTCATTGAGAATTGCTACTACATCCATCGAACCAGATATTGATGCATTTGTTTATCAAAAACAGTGTAAAATATCACACCAGTTTCATGTTGCCCTCTTTCACTTTTATAATTAAAAAAAAATACAAAAAATTAAGTTTTATGAACCAGATAAGTACATTATCTATATCAGTGATTTGCTGGACTTTTTCTGCTCATCGCCTATCCTTATCATTAGTGTATTTTATGTGTGACCCAAGACAATTCCTCTTATTCCAACGTGGCCCCAGAAAGTCAAAAGGTTAGACACCCCTGCATTACAGCTTCAATACGATGCCAGTTGTAAGGTTCAAAATCTAAAGCATATACTGTTCAGCAAGCATTGGCTGAAACTCAACCAGTGTGTGGCTTTCCCCATTCAACAGTAATCAATCGTTTGATTGACTTCTGTCGAAGATGCATGTTGTAAATTTTTTCTTGATCAGCCAATCAGCTGCAGCTGCTGCATTCTGGCCACTGTGTGTCCCACTGTCAGAATACTATGTCCCAAAGAGCATGGGTGATCCACCTTATTTGTGCGGATTGAAGAAGGGTGTTTGGCCAGCTTAAGAGAACAGATGGAGCAAACATAAATAGAGGTAAAATAATGATTAATGGTTTATACCAATCCTGTGAAAAAAACTGTTCTACACCTATACAACATTTATGCCGGGCAGCACAGTGGCTAAGTAGTTAGCACTTCCACCTAGCAGCATTAGGGTCATTGGTTTGAATCCCAACCACAGCACTACCTGCATAGAGTCTGCATGTTCTTCCTGTGCCTATGTGGGTTTCCTCCAAGTCCTCGGCTTTCCTCCCACACTCCAAAGACACACTGGTAGGTTAATTGACTTCTGTCTAAATTGGCCCTAGTATGTGTAAGTATGAATGTGAGTTAGGGACCTTAGATTGTACGCCCCTTGAGGGTTAGGGACTGATGTGAATGTACAATGTATATATAAAGCACTGCGTAAATTGATGACACTATATAAGTGCCTGTAATAAATAAATGTATGGGAACTGAAAACTTTTTTGAGAAATGATCACAAGCTAAAATAACCAACACAGTTTAAGTGTCAGGCAGCTTAGTGAACTGTCCCTAATCTCAGCTTCTTCAGAGTTATGGATATTTTATAAGCATATTAATGAATGTCCTTATAGTTATTTTACATAAAGTTTTTACTGGCTGTTTAATCCTTCCACTGCCAGGCCCCACTCAACATTTTTAACCAAAGATAACAGGGCTATTTTTATATTTACATAATTCTGTTTCTATCATTTCACACTCTTTTACCTACAGCTTTGAAAGATTGTAAATCCCCCCAATCCACACATTTTTTTAAAGCACAGGACCTGTAGAAATCCTAAACATGCCATGGGTGATGGGACAAGGCTGACCAAGCAAGATGACCGAGGACTCTGGACTAGAAGAAAACTAAGAAAAGTTGACAGCAGCTTTGATGGAAAGATGAGAGAAACAGCAGATGTTGCAATGCTGGAGGAGAGCACTTGGGAGGTAAATGTGCCATAATCTGGAACCATCTTGGTGAAGGCAGGACTTTACTCTGTCCAGTCAGAGTCTCCAGCAAGGAAAATGGTGAGCAGTAGAGTTGTGACATCACCAAATCTCATTCCAAATCTCCTGAGACTAGCAATGACAGGCAGGCAGTGCCTTAGATCTCATACTGCTGATATACAGCTACAAGGCTGTATGCACAGGAGTGCCTAGGCACACTCACATACCAGTAAGAGCTATCTTTTAGAAGGGATTCAAAACAAAAGGTGTAGTTTTCCAGATACTGCATAGGCACAATAAACACTTCTAGATGTTCCCCACAACACAGCAATTCTTCACTTTTTGAATTCAGTTCCACTATAATAATTTTGGAATAGTTATAGTAGTGTTCTGAAACCATTATTGAAACCATATCTAAATTAGAAATGACTGCATGAAGGAAACGCCACACCTGTTATATTTGTTTTCCCAGCGATGCGGCTATACAGCATTCCTGTGAAACACAGACCTAGACTGGCCTATAATACAACAGTGGAACGTGCAGATTTAAAAATAACTTTTTACTTGTGCATGTACTATTTACATTTCCAACAATCACAAAGTCATTTGTAGAAATCTATTTGAAGCTGTCATGATGCGTTTTTTAAACTCATCCAACATAATGATAATCCATAATCCAATTTACAATCAATGCAAAGTATCCCTTGTGCTACTGGCTGTGGATTTATTTGAAACCTTTAGTCATCTGATTCCCCCCACCTCTGCATAGATAAACTTTGGTGCTATAGATGTTAATACAAGCAGAGGAATCTGTCATATTCACTCATCAACTGTGCCGAATATGCCCGCCCAACCCCCCACTTCCATTTATAGAAATTTTACTATAGCTTCCATGAATGAAGAGCGATCTATGAATGTAAGAGGTGAACCTCTCATTCTTCTGCTTATCCTCCATACATACAATACTTTAATTCCTGGAAGATTACCACTGCAGGGGTAGTATGGAGATCAGAGGACTCTAACTAAATCCCCAGCCAGCAGCATATTGGCAGGTGCCAACTGTCCATCGCATTCTATTATGTGTGTTAAAGCCCAGGAACACTGGGGTAACTGCATGCAATGGTTCATCAGCCAGAGGCTGGGTCATGTCCTACTAGAGAGTTATGAAAACATAGGATGTAGCTTCCATTGGGGTTGGAAGTCATGAGAAGTACAGAACCGTTATAGATCCTACAATGTAGAGAAGCAACATCGGGTGCAGTTTACCCAAAATGGGTCCGGAGTCAGGGGAAAGTGAAAGACTGAGAGCCCATTATGTGGAGAGTGATAAAGCTAGTTAAGCCACACCAGCTAAAGCAATGCTGTGACCTAATTTGCTGTGATTATACTCCCAAGTTATTATAAAAACGTATTGGTTCCCGTGAGTTTTATTGTAACTGTTGAGTCTAAGACGGGCCATAGACTGTGCAAATTTGCTCGATTCCCCCATCAACACAGACAGTGTTGACAGGGAAATCCCTCCCATGGAGCCATTATATTCCCGGGGGGGCAGGGGAAGCCTTCCCCGCCTGGAGAAGACAGTGATTATTATTCTAACAGCCACTAATCGCATGTAAAATTCGTCAGGCTGGTTGTACCTAAGCTGATCAATCAACTTGGGTGCATTTAGCCTTCCCATACATGGTTCGAATGTCAGCTGGTTCCTGCTGAACTGGCCGAGATTCAAACTGTCTATGGCCAGCTTAAACCTGGAGGTGTTGAATGCTGAACTGTGTAAGATCAATGTACCAGTATTCTGAAGAGAAACTCTAATAAACACATTTGTTTATTTTGCAAAAGACTTGTCTTACCATATAACGAAGAGAAGCATATGTGTGCCAGTACAGTGTGTGCGATTAGGGGTTGAAGAACTTATTTAGGTGCTTTTGTGACATCGGTGTACAGAAGGAAAAGCAGCCAGTTTGGGATGGGGTTGGTGGTGGAAAACGATGGAGGGTCCCAGTCAGAACGGCGGCTTTGTATCTTTCTAAGACTGTGGGTCCCTAGTGCCGCTGTGGTAGGGGACTTTCCTAGGGAAAGGGCTGGACAGGCAAGGCAAGGCCTTTAATGTTTTGCATCCAGACCTACCAGTTGGAGGAAGTTAAATGTGCTGTGTTAAGGAATTGGTGGAGGGGAGGTTATATAGGGTTCTGCGCTGTTAACATCAAAATGCTCTGGAGTCCAGTATATCTGACTACTCTGTACCAAAATATTACTTTACTTTAAGAATATCTGAAAATATCAGATCAAAGAACATTTGTGACACTGTTTCCACTCACACTTTTGTTACAGCAACCAAACACAGACACATGTGTCTAGTATAAGGTCTGATTCCTGAACATTTTACAACATCTTCCAACACCAACACAGTCTAGACTAGTTCCTTAAACTTTTTTTTATTCTTTATTTTTATTTCTTTAGTTGGATTCCATGGGAGCAGAAACTAAATGTGGTTTCACAAAACTATCCTATAACAAAACAAACTTGTGCTTTAAAGGAAGGCAGCAACAGACATGTAGTGTTAATTTATAATAGAATTATGATGCTTTTAAAAATGACCTTCTTGTTCAAATGTAGACCAATTTAGGGTGGTTTATGCTAGCCATACACATAGATTTCTCTTGTGCAGCTTAGTGGCTGAACAAAAGAAATCAAATAGATTTTTCCATCTATGCTGAACAGCATTGATGAAGGAATCTCCCATTTGATATAATCACATGTGGCTTTTAGGCTGGCCATGCATTATACAATTTTCTTATTCAATTTCCTTTAGATTTACCTCAAACTATGTAGTGCAAGGGCCTGTCTGACTGCATACAAATAAAAGGGTTTAAGTTTCACCTCATATTATATGGTCTTGGTAATTCTAAATGAAAATCGTACAAGAAAAATGTTTAAAGTATGGCGAACCTTAGACCTCATGTGCACTGACGTTATTTTCAACTCCCCTAAAAGCCTGCTCCTGGCAGCAACGGTTTGGCCTGACGCTTGTAAAAGTTTAAAAACTTCAGGTAAAAAGCACTAAAAAATCAAGTATTTCGAAAGCTCACTTGCAGCCTTTTCCTTTTCATAAACATTTTTTTATTAACGTGCAATGTGCCTTTGAATTTGACTTCTTCAGGAACAGTTAGTTTCCTAGGACAGTTCCCTCCTCTCTGCATGTCATAGCCCTCTCTGTTTCTAGAAGTGTTTACTTTCTGTCTGTGCTGGCCCAGCTCCTCTACCTCTCCCTTTATCCCCTATACAACTTTTTATGTAGCTGTGGGGGGAGGAGGGAAAGGGAATACTGTGTAGAGCTTCACTTGAATCGTCTGTTTAAGGTTGTATTATATAGAAGAACTAAACTGAGTTTCCCAGAAGCAGTAATTCACACCTGTGTTCCCTCCTATGTTTTTTGCATTAAAGTGTTACTAAACCCAGGACTCTGCTCTCACTATATCTGGTCTCCCACAGTACACACAACATGGAAATGCAATTATTTTAGTAAATATAAACTTCTAAATACCTTTTTCATCAGCAGTTAGAGCACTGGTTAAAGCTTGTAGGATGAGTTTTCTTTCTGCTCTAGGAGGATGCAAAACCACTGAACTCTGTCTGGACAGTGCTGATTGGCCCTATGCTGATCACATGCACTCTCCCGAGAAAAAAAACTTCTTTAGCAACACACACTAAACTGAGCATGTGCAGAAGGGCTACAGGTTCAGTCTATCTGATCAGCGTGGATATTTGAACAAGAGGAGGGGCAGAGAAGTCAGGATCAAACATCCTTTTTACACAATGCAGAGGATTAACCCCTTAGGTTCCACAGTGAGTATAACAAGCATGCTTTACTGCAAATACTGACTGATTTTACTATTGTGTCTTTAGTAACACTTTAAAGGATAAGTTCACCTTTTAAAAAAATAATAAATGTACATTTTTTGCAGGTAAAAAAGTGTACATTTATTATTTTTTTAGGAGCCTGGAAAGCATAGCAGATCGCTGGTGACATGCAGAACTCCTGCAGACTGTCAGTGTAATCTGTCTGCCCATACATCATACTACCGCTGAACTACCACAGCACTCAACAGTTCCATGGCAGGTCAATGAAAACTACAAGCTGATAGCTGCAAAGGATGTCAGTATTTGGAGTTCATTAATTCATAGAACTCTATGAATGAATGACATGGCCGTGTGAGTGGAACCCCACATGGCCGCAGTATTTTCAAAATCTGACAGCTAGTATGGGGAAATTCTCCCCATACTGCTGTCACACAAAGTGCTCGGATCACCATGTGACTGCAGAAGCAGCAACATGTTACCTAAAAATGGGTGGAACATGTAACATGTTCCCGAAGGCGAACTTATCCTTTAACATTGTGGTGCTATTCATTTACAGTGGCTCCACCATCAAACAAGTACAAAACGTGTCAATGGACCTGCTTTGCAGACCCATGCCATGTGTTCTGGTGCACTGGTTAAAAAAAAAAGTGTAAATATCTGGATTTCCTCTGTTACCGTGCATGAGCAGCCAATTCTAAATCAATAGGCTGCATTAACACAACACATTAACATGCATAATACTATATGATAATGTTTGTGCTGTTTTGTACTACAATAGGATAACATTTAATAAACAATTAATATCCATGTCACATGACATCATGTTACTTCATCCACTCTGTACCTTCACCTACTTGCTCATTAGTCAGTGGATCAGTGATGTTTATGTAGCTTTTTTTTCCATGTAATAGTGGTTCCTTTTGATGGATGAGTGTACTCATAAGTCATCTACGGGGTTACAGTGTGAAATGCAGAATATTCTGTTTATGTACTGTACCAGCCCAAGGCAGCCCATGCAGTCATCATTTTTATTTTCATTTAACAAGTGGGTTGTATAAAAAAATTACCCAGTTCCCCAATCCACACATTCAATGTGGATGGGGGAATCCTCCCACTGTGTTATTGTGTTCTGACAGCGGGGAGGCACTGATCGATCGCGAAAAACCCAATAGGCAGGTTGTACAGCAGTTGACTGGTAGATGTTTTTTTTTGGTTTTGTTTTTTGCTGTTCTTAAAATCTTGTTTATTGTAGAAACCAGTGTACAAGTCAGAAATACAGTGAGTTGACGTGTTTCAGCCTATACGGCTTTAATCATAAGAAAACAAAAAAAAAAAACATGTTTTTCTTAGTTTTTCACAAATAAATAATCTTTCTTGATTCATTTAGGCCAAAATCTATTCTGCTACATTTCTTTAGTAAAAATAACTCACATCGGTGTATATTATTTATTCTGTGTGAAAGGTATAAAGTCTACAAACTATGGTATATTTATTTGAAAACTGATCAGTCCTGATGTACTGACTGCCTATCCCATTTTTTGAGAACCTATAATGTCAGGACAGTACAAATACCCCCAAATGACTCTTTTTTGGAAAGTAGACATCCAAGGTATTTATTAAGAGGCATAGTGAGGTTTTTGAAGTTGTATTTTTTTTGTCACAATGTTTTGGAAAACTTAATTTTAACAAGTTTTTTCTCACACACAGCATAAGTACACTTACAATCACACCTCTACAACATTCGTCTATGCCTCATGAGTATGGGGATACTGTATGTGTGAGATTTTTACACAGCCTAGATGCATAATTGGGCTCAAAATCAAAGGAGCATCTTTGAGCTTTTAAGGTGCATATTTTATGCATCTAATTTCCTGACTACCTATCTTATTGAGTCCCTGAAGTGCCGAGACAGGAGAAACACCCATGAAATGAACCACTTCTGGAAAGCAAACACTCCAAGGTATTTTCTGAAAGGCATAGTGGGGGAAGATTTAGTAAAACTGGTGCAAATTTGCACAGTAGCCAATCAGCTTCTAACTCCAGTTCGTTCAATTAAGCTTTGACAATAAAACCTTGAAGCTGATTGATTACTATGCACAACTTCACCAGATTTTGTGTGCACCAGTTATAGTAAATATCCAACAATGAGTCTTTTAAAATGTTGTTTTTGTCACAATTTTTTTGGAACATGTGGAAAGAAAATTAAACTGTATTTTTTTTACACAAAATTGCCAATTAATAGGATATTTATAACACACATCATAAGCATTCTTAGAATTTCATCCCAAAATACATTCTGCTACACCTCCCGAGCATGAAGATACAACATGAAGGAGACTTTTTCACAGCCAAGCCACATAGAGAGGCCCAAAATCCAAAGAGCTCCTTCAGGCATTCTAGGGGCATAAATTACACATCTACTTTCCTTGCTACCCAAGAGGCATAGTGAGTCCCTTAAAGACTTTGTTTTTTCCACAAGTTTTTGGAAAATGTAAAATAAAAGCGAAAATGTTTTTTTTTTTATACATGCTTTGTGTTAGAAATACCTTATTAACTGACAACAAAAGACAAAAAAAAAAATAAAACTGTAACTGATTATAAGGTGTGAGCCTGAGTTTGGCTTCAAGTTGTTAGTGTTTCTAAATCTGCTAGTACATCTAACACGCCTTCTACTGTCCAAACATGCCCCCTGTGCTCATACATCCAGAGTGGTGTCTCACTAATACAGAACGTGTGTTACTAGCCAGCAGGGCCGATGCTTCCACTAGTCAAACTAGGCAGCTGTAGGGCACACTGCCACCTAGGGGTGCCTTGGAGCAGCACAGGCTAGCAGTCTCTCTACGCTAAGCTGTGGCTCCTTCCAGTGTTCCTCTAAGACGACTCAGTCCCTTACTGCAAGCCGGCTTGTGGCTGCTGATTACTGTGGACTTCCAGCCCTTCTCTTCCCATTTATCAGCAGAGGAAGAACCGCCCCTGTGGAGGAAGGTAATGTCTTACTCTGATGTCTCGAGTCTGTGTGAGTGTGACCCGGCCGGGCATCCATCACATCTGAAATGTGTCAGTGAGTGATGACATCATCCTGATCCCACAGCCTGCTCTTCTAGTGCCTGCTGGGCCTGCTGATCTGTGTCAGTGTTGGTGGTGGTGTGTTGTGTTGGATCTGTCACTTTGTTGGATCACTTAGTTCAGGTGTTCTCCGTGTGTGTAGGGGCTTGGCTGCCTGCTGTCACAGCATTTTATCTCCCTCCATTGCCTGGGGAATTCCAGCCTGGGATCTGTCAGAGTGTGGATCCATCATCCTCCACTCACTGCAACTGTCTCCCTGCCACTGCCAGCCACAGATACAGTCCATACGTGACACTAGTTTTGTCTTTAATATTGGTGCTGGTGGCATCTTATGGCACTTATTTTTGCAAATTAAAAGAAATTTAGCAGTTTCATGTTTTCTTGATTTAATATTTTCTACAGTTTCTTATTTATTTGTGTGTGTGTGTGTGTGTGTGGCCACCACATTGAATGATTGGTCAGTTGCAACATATTACGCTTTTTGTTTTGGATTTAATACCACTTTAAGAAATAATTGATAGAGGTTTGTTCCTTCCACAATCTGTCCAAAATAGTTTTAGCTGGATTTTCGCTCCACTGCTTAAAGTTCATTAATATGATCTTCCCTTTCAGGAGAAAGGTGCATACTGTAACTTGATGTACTGTATCTATTGCAGTTGGCTCAAAAATCTCTTCTCCCCTACAAGCTCCACCCACTAGTTTTTTGTATTACATAGTAGAAAGCATATAACTGATGTTATTAAAAAACCCCAACATCCTCATAGGTGGATCACTATTTCTTTATATCTCAAACTTATCCGCAGCAGGGGTGGACTGACAACTCATGGGGCCCCCGAGCAATAGGGGATCATGGGGCCCCTGTGTCCTTGCCCAAACTCAAAAAAGCCTATGAAAAAGGTACCAGGGGCATCTCATGGGGTCCCCTACTGACCCCGGGCCCTCGGGCAGTGCCCGAGTTTCCAAATGGTCAGTCCGCCCCTGATCCACAGGGACCACCAACAGGTCATACTGCGGTCCAGACTTCAAGCACTTGTACAGCTGAGTTTACTAATCATAGTCTACAAAGAAATCTGGAAAACATGACCTGCTATTGTCCCTAAGAACTGGTTTCAGAAATGCTTAAATAGATGAATCTGAATCAAGACCATATTAAGATATTATGCGACTGTCACGATTACCCTTAACACAGGTGGTCAGACCCTATGGCTGGCTTTTGTGTTCTTCAGCTATAGCAGCCCCCTTTTCCATAAGGCAGGCCTACTGGTATTCGATTGCCCCCAGGACTTATGCACAATGCTATAGTGCCTGGCTACCATGTTGGGGCAAGCACAAACTAAGCACAGCAAACAGGTACTTGCAGGTGGCAGACAGAGTGGTTCAATGACAGTCCAGGAACAAGGCAGACAAGGTTAAGAGTAGTCAGGGTCCAATCTGTAGTCAAAGGCAGGCAAAGTTCAGAGAATAGTCAATAACCGATTCAAGGTCATAAACAGGGGAATCCAAAAAGCAGAGCAGGCCAGACAGACAGGGAGCTTGAGCACGTATTACACACGCTATCACAAGCATGAGACTGCAGGCTTGGCTGGCTTAAATGAGGTTTGGTCTCCATCCAGAGACTGGCCACATTAATCACCTTGTAGATGGACAGACAGGGAGAATGTATCACAGCCAAAACAAGGATCCTGTAATGAGAACAGCAGCTGTGATAGAGCAGGGGCTCTAGACTCTCCTGACAGTGACCCTAGGCATGCTTGAATCATGGAGCACTTTTTTACAAGCCCCTTATGTCACAGTTACATGTCATGTGATTGCTTTGGCAAAAACACTGCTAGAATGAGCTATTAGAGGCAGCATGGAGCCTGCTTTATATACTGGGCAACCTTATATCTATGCAGATCACCAAGCAAGAGCAAAGACAAATGATTTCACATAATTTGAAATGCTTCTTAGTAAGAGCTGTAAAAATGTGGAATAGACTCCCCCAAGAACCAGTTTTAACCAGTTTTTTTCATCTATTGGTTGAACTAGATGAACTTTTTCCAAGCTAACTATGTAACTATAATTGGAACTCTCAACATCCCCTGCACCTCCTTCCCTATCTAGTTTTCTTGCTAAAATTTAGCAATAATGTCCAGAGGTGGCCAATGCCCACAGGTGAAGTCTAGTTCATTGCTAACCTTTTTCTTTTTCTGCTATTATTTTCATCCTGTTGGGT